TTACTGCAGTAGTCTTTAGGAGAAAATTTTATTAATCGGCCCGTTTAAGTAGGAAACATGTGAGTATTAATACACAAATTCTTCTACTCTGTTAATAAATGTATGTCTATAAAAATAAATAAAAGCACTATCCAGTTACTGTCAGATAGATTCTGACTCATGGTGACCCCACATGTGTCAGAGTAGAACTATGATGCATAAGACCGGTATACTAAGTGATTTTTCACAAAAAGTCCCATGCATATAAGGAATGTTTACACATCTAAATTTAGTTATTTTATATTCCATACATATTTAAACATCATTGCCTGTTAGCAATAAGTAGGTTTTTCTTAAGGCAGTTTTTCCTATGAAGTTAAAGAATAGACCTGAATTTCATGGACAAGTACCCTGAGCTGAAGGATCATTGTTTTTGACACTCTTTTGAAACTTGAGCTGTCTTTGAAGCATCTTTCTGGGTTTAATATTATAGTCAAAGTGTCAAGGTTAAAACAAAAATATCACAAAATGTGAGTTTCTGTAGGAGGTTGCAACTTTTATACTTAAAGTATTTAGAAGTTAAAGATAAACATTTTAAAGAGAATAGCTAAATCCAATTAAAACTTGTTATTTTAGAACCTACTAGTTTGGAAAAAGTTATATCTGCAGTAGGAATGTAAGTTTCTACTATCTTTCAAGGGAAAAAAGGATTTGATAATCAAATTAATAATATATAAGAAAGTGGGAACCAGAACTTTAAGCTAGCCAAGGAAAAATGGTTTCAAACTTTTAATACCTTCCTTTTTGCCACTGATAATGAATAGTCTATTATAGTGAATACTTGTTATCTACGCATTTACAGACACAAATAACCTTTATGTGTATTGTACTAGTATATGCAGTTAAAGGTGATAAAGCTATACTTAAAACTGTTCTTTGCATTTTCTAGTAATTTAGATAGGGATCTTTCTTTTGTTTATTCTAAATTAAGTTTTATTCCTTTGTTCTTTGCCTTCTAGTTGTGCCTCCCTATTTATGGCTTACAGATCTTTGCATCCAGCTCTTACTTTCATGTTCATCTTCCAATCCCCACTGCATTTGGCTGCTTTGTCCCTAATTTAGACTCCACTGTTTCAGTATTCTTCTTCCTGCCATCCACCTCCCAATATTCTTACATTTGAGTTCTTACTCTCAATCCTGTTTCCTCTTTCTTTGGTCCTCAGCCACTGTTTCTAGGTTTGATTTCTGAATTGTTGTATTATTCCTATTCTCTGCCTGGTATGATCGAAACTGGAAAGATGTCAGGAGAATTCGAAAGTAGGGGCATAGAGAGCATTGACATGTATTGAATACCTACGCTATGCTAGGTGATTTATTTATATCATTTTGTTCTCATAGCCCTCATATAAGGTATAGGTATGTTTTATTGTTGTCTATTTTATTCATAAATAAACTGAAGCTCAGAGAGGTTAAATATTTTGTTTTAATTCACAGAGCTACTAAATGATAAAGACAGGATTTAAACAGATTAGTGCATTTATTCATTCATTCTTTTCTTCAACAAATCTTTATTGAGCACATGCTATGTTTTGGGCAGTTTGCTATGTGCTGCAGCAGATCCACTCCATATTCTCATGGACCTTAACTCTGTAGTGGGATTGCCTGACTTCAAAGATTGTGATCTTTCTGCTACACCAAAGAGCTTAAGAGGATGAGAAAATTAAAAAAAATAAACAGAAGGGTTCTAGTGTTTTATGGAAAAGATATATTTGATACAGAGACGACAAAAATTGTATTTGTGCATTATTTAGAAGTACCCTATGGAAAACATTAATTTAAGTCTAGTCTTATACAGAGTTTGACTCCCTCCACAACTAACCACTGTAAACAAGAATGCTTTCAGTGACATCACTATAATATAATCACCATAACATATATTTTCCTTTTATGGTCTAAAATATGTAAGATTTGTATCTATAGGCCAAAATTCTCTAGAAAATCTTCAGAAAGAAAACTGTATTCCATGAATTATGTTTGAAAAAATATTGGGAACTGTGTTAAAAGAATACATCATTCATTTATTCATCTGTCCATATGTTTATTTTGTTTATATATTTTAATATATAAATATATATTTATATAAACTGAATGTATAATGGCTTACCCAAATACATAAAACACAACAGAATTTTTAAAAAGTTAAATACGTAAACAGGGCTAAGAAAAATAAGATGAAACTATATTGTGTTCAGTAAGCCTACTAAGAAGTATTCACAGATTTGTCTGTGTTCTCAAGAATAACTTGATTTACAAGCATCATAATCTAAACACAGACTGGTAGCATGGAAGAGTACCCATTCCTAATCATGAGACCTGAGAGGAAATTTTGCCTCCAGAGCCTTCTAAAGAGGATCACAGTATAATGTGGTGAACAATAGCCTGAAAGACTTCCTTAATATGAGTTTCACTGAGCTGTTTTAATGTATCCAAAAGCAAAGTTTAATGAAACAATTATATGAAAAGTGAAAATAAGGCGTTCCAGTTAGACAGTGGTCTGGCCAAATCCAATGGTATATTTTAGAGAATCTAGAAAAATTAATGAACTGCATCTCCTCCTATGTAATTTGTGTATTAAGTTTTTCATGTACTAGGTGAGAGTGAGTTTATACACTCTTAGAAGTTTATTTAATTCACTACTGCATCTCCAGTGCCTAGAATAATAGTACATACCAGTTGACGTCGAGTCGATTCCAACTCATGGCAACCCCTTGTGTGTCAGAGTAGAACTGTGTTCTGTAAGGTTTTCAGTGGCTGATTTTTTTGGAAATAGATCACTGGGCCTTTCTTCTGAGTACCTCTGGGTGGACTCCAATCTCCAGCCTTTCAGTTAGCAGCTGAGCACATTAACCATTTGCATCACCTAGAGACTTCTACTTAGTACATACCCATTAAAAAACCCATTGCTGTCCAGTCAATTCCAACTCATAGTGACCCTATAGGACGGACTAGAACTGCCCCATAGGGTTTCCAGGGAGCAGTTGGTGGATTCCAACTGCCGACCTTTTTTTGGTTAGTAGCTGTACCTCTTGACTACTGCATCACCAGGCCTCCACTTTGTACATAGCAGGTGCTTAAAGTGCTTAATAAATATTTGTTATATCAATGGATGAATGTTGTGGTTTTAAGTATCTATTTAAACGAGAAACTCCCTCTCAGCTATTTATTCATATTTCCCTCCTTTTTCCTTAAATAAAGTGGGCTACTATATTTTGGAGTGCATCATCATCTTTATGTGGATCCCCAAACTCACTGAACGTCAGCCTTATGTGACTTTCATGCAGGTGATGAAATAAATATTAACCCTATTCAAAGAGCTCTTTTAAGATTGTTAGTAACATCCCCTTGCTTGATCTTTAGGGCTTTAAGATTTTAAGTTACCTTAAAACCAAAACCAAACCTGTTGCCATCGTGTGGATTCCAACTCATTAGCAACCCTATAGGACAGAGTAGAACTGCCCCATAGGGTTTCCAAGGAGTGGCTGGTGGATTCGAACTGCCATGCTTTTGGTTAGCAGCTAAGCTCTTAACCACTGAGCCACCAGGGCTCCGTAAGTTCCCTTAGAAGTTGTAAACTTCAGTAAAACAATTTATAATCTGGATATCTCCATGTTTCTTCTCAGAAGACCTCGAAATCATACCAGATGGATAGAATCTGGAAAGTAAAGAGGAGGTTCTTGAGGAAGAGGTTCTAGCTCGCCATTTTTTAGCTATACACTTATATGAAAGTAATTCACTCCCAAATTTAGGGATTAAAGAATTTCCTTTTCTGCTGCCTGTTGGCCCCCTATTTTTAAAGCAGGTTTTATTGAATTCTTGGGGGCATTATAGTCATATTAATCTTCCTTTGAAATTTCTGCCATTATTAAATATTACATTATAGTGGGATTCAAGGGACTAGTAGATCACATCAATTCTGATAATCTTGTAGTCTATATAATTATGAGGAATTAACTAATTTTTGTGCATCCTAGAAGTTTATTTATAACATCAGTTAACATCTAATATACACTTGATGAATTTTAATTTTCAAGCCCTCTACCTAAATTTTGCCCAAAGCTACAATCTTATTTGAAACTATCAGTCTACTTCTAATGAAATATTGAAATATCAACCTTTCCTATATTTCTCTATATTTAATTTTTTTCCTTTCTTCTAATTTGCTGGAATACTCTATTTTGCAAGTTTTATTTCTGTATTGCTCCCAATTATTGTAACCTGCTTCATTTAAGAAACAGAGGACTGGAAATGGATTGTCTATTTTATTCCCAACTTTTAGTCTAAAAGTCATTTTCATCATTAGAAATTGAAATTTTCCTGTCTCTTTCATTAGCTCATTGCAGGCTTAATAACACTTCATCTTAAGAATGCCGTATCCTAAAATTCCTAGTATATTGTTAAAGCTTATCACTTTATTACTTCTTTTTAAAATAATCAGATAATTTACATTGAAGATACAGGAGATAATAAATCTAGAGTTTTTCTTCTGGCCAGTACATGGAGAAAGTTAACTTGATAATTTATTGAGTTTCTATTAATCGTGTCATAAAATCATAGAGTTAGGAGGGATATAAGATGACCTCAGGTTTTCAGGGACAAATTATTTTAGCAATAATAGGCAAAGAAAAATATCCAGATTTTTATGGTATGAAAATCTGTTGAGCTATTATAGCAATCTGAGGCATGATTTTTTAAATTTAGGCTATTAGGCAAGATGAGATTTCTATCAAATACTTCTGAACTGTAGGAGACGAGAAAGAATTACTAATATGAAAGTTTGCTGGGTTTTCCTGTTCCTCTGCTTTTATTCAGTGGTCCCAAAGATAAATAAAGATGAATGTTTGGGGACCTAAAAGGTATGTTTTACAGAAAGCATGGTTTAAAATTATTTTTAAGTAAATTTTACTACTCTGCCTTCCGTTTGGCTAATTTCACTCAGTCTGCTATTTAATCTTTAATTACAGGCCACAAAAGAAGTAATAGAACGGGAAGCTCCAGGGATGGCCCTGGCAATGCTGATGGGATCACTTAATGTTACACCTCTGGGCATGCTCTCTAGGTAAGAAAGTCACCCACATGTTACAAAGAAAATTAATTCCATGCCACTAATCACTGCAATAGACTGACAAACCTGAGAAACTTTTGTCACAATACTTATGTTTGCCCCTTTTTTTCCGAGTTAAGAGTCTTAGTATCTTGTCTGACTAGATCATGGCCACATCTTCCTTCAGGTGCTTTTTTTTCCTACCTTTCCTACCATATTATGTCCTAAACTTTTAGAGAATATTATATTACTGCTAAAAGTTGTCTGTCCTAACGCAGAGAAGAGTCTAGTTTATTGACATGTCAAGTTATTCTTTGTGATTATTTGTAATTATCAATTTCTATTCATTAATTACCACTAAATACTAATTTAATAATACTAAACAGCAGAGTTTATTAAAATAACTTATGCTTACAAGTTAGGAATTTTTGTACCAATTTGTAAATAGGCATATCGATGTGTGGTCATGAAAAAAGCTGAATTCATATTGATAATCTTTAAACTATTGGCAACTTAGTATATTTAAATTATTACATTAAATTAGTATATTTAAAACTATGTCTTTGTTGACACATCTATCCTCAGTCTGATACTTTATTTTAGCAGCTCTTAGAATTACAAGTCCTTAAATGAGGACAATGTACATCATTTGAGTTAAAAGACAAAAGTGTCAACTTAATTAGAATCTGTTGATTTTAATGACCATTGATTGATGGGCGGTTGACTTCAGAAACAACCTAAAAATTCATAAGTCATCACTTCATAATTGCACACAATCATTATTTATAACAATTTATGTATCCTGTGTGCAATGTGGAAATAAAAATAAATAAATCCATGTAATTGTATGGAAATGAGTCATAATGTTCTTTCTGTTACTTAGACTAAGTTTATATCCCATTAATGGCAGGCACTTGAACCACAGCTGCAGGAGAAAGTGAATGGGTTATTAGTATTCTCTTTGCTCTCACATGTACTATATTATAACAGTTAATTTTAGTAAGAGCAAAAATAGAATTAAACTAGCATGATAGAGATTTTAAATTTAAAAGTTCATGCCAGCCTTTAAAGAACTTAAATTGCTCTCTTTATGCTGTCCTTTTTAAACCCTTACATTTTACCTATACATATGAGGTCAGGGGTCACGTTTGATCCCATTTTTCCTATGAAATCGAGTACTAGTTTTTGAACAGACAAGAACTCTTTCTGGTATACAAAGAATATAGTTAAGAGAGAATTAAACTTCATCTCTTATTAATTCTTTTGTAATAAAAATTTAATTCAACAAATATAATAATATGTTTGCCAGGCCCCATTAGGGATACTAAGAGTAGAAAGAAAAATCAGATATGGTCCCTACCCTAACGATCCCACAGTATACCTGGAAAATTCGTTCGTTGCAACTATTTAAAGTAACTTTTTAAACTGAATATAGCTTTCTTGATACAATTTAGAAACATCACTTTTTGCCTTATTGGAAAGTTTTTCTAGATTCTTCTTCCACCTTCTGTATCCCCATAATTATCAGGCAGTGGACTACTGAGTGAGTAAAAAATTAATCAGCAGGAGCTGATTCTGAGTACTTTGGCATAAGTCCATCATCTTTATGCTGAAGACTTTGAAAATTAAAACTTAATGCACAGCATGGTAGTAGCTTCTTGTAGCTTTTCTGTTTATTACTAATTTGACTGGAGAGTTTATTTACAAATTTGGGACAAAGATAGTATCGTATTTTTATGCAAATAGTATGCATCTTCTGTGTTCATTTGCCAACTGCTTCCTCCCCTTGTGTGGTATTTTTATAAGCCTGCTATGCTAATATTTTTTTACAGCAACATGTTAAAAAAAAACTTGGCATAGTGGCACCTACGAAAGTACCTTGTGGGGGGAGGGAGCTGTTGGCAAACAAACGTAGAAGGCACGCTTTATTTGCATAAAAATACACACACTTTATTTGCATAAAAATACGGTAGTCTGCTTTAGTTACCAAAAATGGAACTGTTGAATATTTCCCTAAATATTCATTTTATGTGCTTCTCAAACCCGTTATTATTATTATTATTATTATTATTATTATTATTATTTCAACTGACATGATTAGATTAGCTCTTCCTTTGTACAGCTTTCTATCCTATATGTGTTTTGGGCATTTTACATGCTTCTGTTATAGCACGTCTTGCTATAGTGCAATTAGCTATTTAGTCTTCTGTCTAACGTACTTTGTAGAAAATCCTTAAGAACAGTTTCATCTTATTCATTTTTATATCCTCAGCTCCCAAAACAACTTATGACACATAATAAATACTCAAAAAAAAGCTTATTGTTATGGTTACTGTTGATAAATCAGTGTTTCACCCTAGCTCTGATATCATTTGTTTCCAAGTAAAGTAATGCATCAAAATTGATGCCTTGCATCCCTGTTTTTATCTCTAGAGAGCAGCATTAAATAAAAAATTTTTTTTTAATTATTAAATCTCATGTTTCAAATGGTTTTTATCTACTTGATTAACTTAATGTCCTCCAGTTGTTTTGTATAAGTTGAGAGGTTGTTGTTGTTGTTAGTTGCCGTCAAGTCAGACACCAACTCATGGCGACTTTATCTATACCAGAAGGAAATGTTGCCTGGTCGTGTGCCATGTTCATGACCATTGGTATGTCTGAGTCCACTGTTGTGGTTATTGTGTCATTCCATCTCACTGAGGGTTTCCCAAGTTGAAAGGTACTATGAAGAAAGTTTTTGAAGCCAGATTGCATCGATTCTCTTCCTTCTCAACCAATTACTAGCTACTTAATGTCCTTTTGGTTTTGGTTTTCTCGTCTGTATAATGAGGATACTAACAATACCAGCCTCCTTGAATTAAATGAGTTAATCCAATAAGTGCTTAAAAAAATACTTGATTCATTTTAAGTGTTGATCATTGTTGTGTGCTGTTATTGATTAAGAGCTGTAGTTTTTAAGAGCAGTTATGCTGTTTTAAAAAAAAACCTGTTACCTTTTCTTCATCTGGAAATACTTTATCTCATCTTCATTCCTGAAAAATATTTTCACTAGGTATAGAATTCTGAGTTGAAAGAACTTTTCTTTCAGAAGAAGGTGATTTTTTTTTTCCCCTTTAACATTTTAAAACTTGTTCCACTGTCTTCTGGCTCCACAGTCATTTGAATTGATACTCCTTTATGTATAAAGTGTTGTTTTTCTTTTTAATCTTTGGTTTCAGCAATTTGATTATGATGTATCTGGGCATTGCTTTCTTTGAGTGTTTCCAGGTTTACTGAACTTCTGGATGCTAAATTTATGTCTTTCACTGAATTTGGAAATTTTTCAGCCATTATTTTTTCAGATATTTTTTTCTGCACCAATCTCTTTCTCGTCTCCTTCTGGGACTCCTTTGACATAAATGTTAGAACTTTTGATACTGTCTCGCAGGTTCCAGAGGCAGTGATTATTTTCTTCATCTTTTTTCTCTCTCTTATCATCAGATTGTTTTTATTTATCTACTCCACGTTTACTGACTTTTTTCCTCTTTCACTTCTGTCCTGCTTTTGAGCCTATCCAGTGGATTTTTTAAATTTCAGATATACTATTTTTCAGCTCTAAAATTTCCATTTGGTATTTTTTTATACTTTGTTTCTTTGCTGAGTACTTCTGTACTTCCATTGATTTCAAAAGTGTTGACCTTTATGTCATTGATGATGGTTATAATAGCTTCTTAAAATTATTTTTTCTAGCAATTCTAATATCTGTTTTACCTTGCAGTTGACATCTGTTAATTGTCTTTTACTATGAGAATTGGTCAGATTTTCCTGGTTCTTGTATGTCAAGTAATTTTGGACTGTATCCAGGATAGTTTGACTATTTTTAGACTCTGGGTCCTTTAAAATACTCTGTAGAATGTTAATTTCTTTGTTTATTTGTTTGTTTTTTAAGCAGTCAATCAAACTAGCTAGGTTCAGACCACAAGTCTTGTCTCACCTTTTGTGAGTGGTATTTCAGTTTTTGCTGTACTGTTTGGATCTGCCTAAGACATGCACCATTTAGGAGTTAGTCTGGGACTGGAGCAGTGGTGTATATTGTGTTAGGTTTTACAAGGCTTTCCTATGCTTCTCTGAGTCCATTACACATATGTACAGCTTAGAAGTGACCCTGGGACTTGTGTGAATTCATCCTCAGAATTGGGGAATTCACCTTCTCCAGCTCACTTCTCTCCAAGAATTTCCTCACACTCTCAGACTTCCAAGGGCCCGTTTTCCCAGTTCCTCTGGCTAGAAGAGGTTTCTCTTGGCTAATAACCCCCCCTTCTACCACCACCCCCATGGTATTGTACAATTCTGCACAACTGGGGCCACCTTGGAGCCAAAGAGGAAAAAGAAAGATCCAGAAAAAAATAACAGCGATTCCTCCCACTCCAGCTTGTTAGTCAATAGGGGTCTCTTTTCCTGGTTCCACTAATCATAGAGATGGGTGTTCACTCTGGGTTTTAGGTTCTTGAACCATCATCATCACAGTAGTACAGCTCCACGACTAGGACTAGCCCCACTAAAGGCTGTTATCCAAATTTTTACTTTAGTCCCCAGTCTGCCTGCTATTATTTACTTTTCAGAGTCTTTAAATAGTCACTGTTTATTCTGTCCAGTTAGTGAGTTGAGAGGATGTAGTTAGCATCCTGCATTTTGGTAGGCACCAAAAGAGTAAGAGCTGTAATTTTAAAATCAGACTTATGAGTCTGTCTAGCACTTACTAGCATTTATTAGCTATGTGATTACAGGCCAGTTATTTAATTAGGTTTAGCACTTACTGTTCTAGTAGCTAATTGAACTGCCCTCACAAAATAGCCACATATAACCTCTTTGAATCTATGGTGTATGCCCCACTTTTTAAAAAGATCAGATGCCTCATTTTTTCCTAACTACATCATTTTTTTAAGTTCAGCTTCGTAAAGAGCAATAAAATGATGACTGTGTTTCTCCATTCAGGAGTGATTTATCTAGGTTTCAGTCTTGATGTTGTCATTAAC